TTTTTTTTCCTTTTTGCAATCAATAGTCCATGTGACTATTGTTGCGATTGTTAATCGTTTGAGAAAGCATTGTTGATTGAGATGAATCGCTGTCGAGAAATATTTTATATGAACATATCCACCGCATATATAACACAACGATTATCGTTTCTGTTTGATAAAATTCAACAAATCAAACTCACATCAGAGCAATGTCATGCTGATGGGTATTGTTTTATAAGTTTTCTTTTGGGATTTGCAACATTATGTAAAAGGATTTCGAACTTTCATTGAACAAGACAAGAAATTTTAATTAGTTCTTAAAATTGTATCTGTTACTTCTGTTGAATTCGTTATTCTCTCCTGTTGAATTCATTGCAAATATTGATATTATTTAAGAGTCCTATAACAATTGCACTGTTCGCAGAGCACATTTCCTAAATGATTGAGTGGTAATGATTTAACGGTTGTTTTAACGGATGACTTTCTTATATGAATATTCATCTGCATTTGTTGAATGATAATATTAATCAAGAAGATAATTTTAGTCGTAACGTTTGCAAATGCTTGAATCTTTTCAAAATTGCTAACCGGATATTGTTTATAGCGTAGGAGGTGTTGCAATATAAACTATTCATTTCATATTCACTAAATTATCATATTCAGTAGCGCAATAGCGATCATGAAATGAATTCATTTCGTGTCAAAGTCTAACTGAAAGCGAAAACTTATTTGTGAATACGTTCAGGTGGTAAGGGAATAATTAGCGACGCTGAAGAATTGTAATGAGATCAACACGGTTTTACGACTGTTTCAATGCTTATTTAAGTGCCGTTTCATCCGCAGTAATCAGTTGCAATAACCACTGAATCATGCGAAGTGTTCGCGGAATAGCGCTNCATACTTGGTAAATAGTATCAACCTTGCATGCTACGGCAAATGTACGCTTATCTCGTTCCATGATGTTGTTTTATACTCTTGAGAATAACACGGTTTGGTCGCTAAGCAAGCAATAGATTTTCACATTTGAGATAAACTGAATATTTCCACTAAGTTCAGTTGAGGAACAAATAAGTTGACAATAGAAAATGTTCCAGTGAATACAACAAACAACAGCTTATAGACGGATCAAGCTTGTAGCTACCACAGGGCTGCCTTGAATATGACCAGTGATCGAGAAAATCGTCAAAATAAGGTATATACAACAATTGCTTGTGCGTGAAACTTTATCATTATACGATCAATAACAAAAGTTGTACTTAGTTACTAAATAACACATTGAATTGCATTTGAATAGGAGTATTTTTTGGCGAGCTCTTTGGATTGTCCACGTTCTATTGCGTCATCGTTTGAATTTTATCAATTTGTCGCAACCGGAACACTCGCATGATTGTCTTCTCTACGAAAACATTTATAAGCAGACTAACATCTGCCTTCATTATGAAACAGTTTCAGTGTCAGATTCTGACTCTGAAAGGTGGCACACCTTTAGGGTGGAAGAATGTTGCCATCGTGAGCGACCATTCAATCATTTTCACGTTGATGATTGTTCATTTTCCTTGGCGTCGTTTCGGTCCAGTTAGCTTGTTCAAGAATAGATTTGATATATGCAGCTTTTACCAGTTAACACCGGTGGTTTTGCGAAAATTTCTTCACCTCCAACATGGGAACAGCTCAAATTTGTATTTCCTCAACCAAATCATATTCAAATCTGACTAACGCAACCACAACTGAAACTCTTGCATTCTTTCTTCACTATGTTTGTTATCTCGAAAGGCTTTCCTCAAAAAGAAAAAATAATCTTCCGGTTTCATCGTTATCTGAACTCTCATCGGCTTGATCTGCTCTCGTTATTCGTTTAATCTCTTCAACAATTCAAACAAATTGATTGCATCCTAACGAATAGAATTCGGATTTATATTCAAACTGAGAATCTCATTAAAGTGTTTCAGTATTTTGTCGTGGACTAGTGCATGTGCGTGCAGTGCCTACTTTGCAGATTTTTTTTTTAACTTCAGTAATCTGGCAGAATCCATTAAAGACTCATGAAAACGTCATTTTATCACAAGCATACAGTCTTATCACTTGCAGTATTCATTTTATGATGCAACTAAAAGATTTATACTGCAGAATGCGATTGGTCGTTTGAATTGTAGATGTCTTGCGATACATTCCAACTTTTTACGAGCACGACTAATCGTTGAACTATTTGCACTCGAGCACTACTTAAAGCACGCTCATTCTGTTCAGTTCGTTCAAATTTTATTACTTCCATATGAATGCATTGTATCGATACATTTTATTGATGAATCATATCAACATACTTACTTAAAGCCGAGAACTTTGCTGCTTGAATTCATCATCATTTCTTGAATTGAACAATTTCTACAACAACAATTTGAGTAATTTCATAGAATTACATTCAGCTATTGTATTTGATAAAGTCGAACCCACTCTTCATGTAATATTGCGTTTTAAAATGAAACCTTGAAATGATGAATGTTATATCGCAATGCGAAGTTCTATAGAAATGAAAATACAAGTGAAAATTCCTTTGCTTTATGGAACAAGCACGTGAGATGAATGTAAAAAATCGAATGCTATTGTTCAAATATTCCCATCAGTTTGGAATGAATTCGCAGAAAGTTTGCGGCTGCAGTTCGGTAATTATGATGCGATCAGGATAAGGTTGTGTGTGGCTATAGCATATCTGAACGCGATCCGCTTTTTATTTAATGTGTCTCAACTTGTCTCTGCTCATTAGGTGTATGTAAAACGAACGCAATGAAAGTCTTAGTTGCATTGCGTTCTTCACACTATACAGTTTACTCATTAGCAAAACCCTATTACTCATTCATATTCATCGCCACGACTGATTGCGATCTATCAGAAATTCTTCCATCATTTTTCCGATACTACATCACTCTAAATCNTTTTTTAAATTTATTCAGTGCGAATCATTCCAAATGAATGCATTCGGAATATGAGCGAATCCATATCGCTATCTCCCTTCAGTCTGTTCAAATTGATTGCATCCTAACAAAACGTTGACACTTGTTTCTTGTTCATATCGATCTTCACATATCGAACCTCTTCATATCTTCATCAATCACATAAAGATCACTTCAGATCGATCTGCAATGGTTCAGCTGTCGTACAGTACAGAAGTGTGTCTAACAGTGTGTGTGATAAGTGTATTCCTAATGTCGACAACCTCATCGATTCACGTACCAAAATCTGGTGTTTTGAAGATGTGTCCCCCCGGCGGTGAGACATTCACAGGTGCTTGGCAGATTACGTGCGGTATGAGGAAGAAACGCGATATTGCCTCAGCGAAACAAGGTTTTCTTGCTGTTTTTTGTCCTCAATTCATTTATCACATCTCCTTGATTGAGAATCCCTCGACGATAGTGGTTTCCGTAAGTTTCAGCTTTACCGAGCGAAGGCAATTAGAAGTTTGCAGATAAGTTAGATTTTTTTTCGGTGAGTATCC